AAACTTTTGAGACAGAACGTACCCAAAGAGCCATATGTGGCTCGGGAGCCGCAGTTTGCTGACCCCTGCCCTAGGGCATGAGGGCTGGTCTTAATGACTTGACTTTGATACAGTAAGGTCTTCACTATAGTTTATAGGGTGAACTTCATCACTTCCCTGTGGTTTACAGGTTAGAACCACCAGCTATCCACCTCAGTGACACCTCATCAAAAAGCAGTATTCCTATGAATCTCCTGGAGAGAGTGGGCATGGTGACAAATGCAAGCAGGTAGAGGATGCTAGTTGTAACAGTTATGATGAGTTCCATGCAAAGTGTAATAAAGCACCTGAACAAAACTCACTCTACCTCTCCCTCCTAAGTATTAAATGACCACAATTCACAGCCATAATTGGTTAAAAAAATATCAATAAAAGAGTGAGCTGTTATTCTCATACAGTGAGCTGCAGCATTCTCTTCTTGGTATACGTATCTTCTTTTCTTTACTGTTTTTTTTTTATTTAACACAGAAAAGCAAACAAATAAAATAAGATTCACAAACCCACCACCACAATTAACAAGTAGCATTTTATCATATTTGCTTCAGGTTTTAAACATCATATTACAGATCTAGAGGAAATCTCCTGTGTAACCCTCCCCAGGTCCACCCCTCCCTGCCTTCCCAAGAAGCAATCAGTCTCATGAACTGGGTGTGAATCCTTCTGTTCCATGAGTTTATATTTTACATTGTTCATATGTATTCATAAATCAAATATAGTATTGCTTCGTAGGTTTTGAAAATTTGTAATAAGAGTATATGTCACATTGTATATATCACGCTTGTTATTTTTTCTTTTTTTAAGTGCTCAATCATTGACATCCATTTTCTATTCTCCAATCTTTTTTTCCTGCCGTGTGTATATTTTAATTAATTTATTTTAATTTTTAAAAATAATTTATTTTTCAATTACAGTTGGCATACAATATTATATTAGTTTCAGGTGTAGAACATAGTGATTAGACATTTATATAGCTTACGAAGTGATTCCCCCCTGATAAATCTAGCACCCATCTGACACCATACATAGTACAATATTACTGACTATATTCCTTGTGCATTCTTTTATATCCCCATGACTATTTTGTAACTACCAATTTGTACTTCTTTTTAAAATTTTTTCAATTATAGTTGACATTTAATATTATTTTATATTAGTTTTAGGTATACAGTATAGTGGTTAGACATTTACATAATTTATGAAGTGATCCCCGATTAGTCTAGTACCACCTGGCACTGCACATTTAACTTGGTGCTACAGATTCATCCATGTAGCTGTGTATAGATCTAGTTCATTCATTTTAGCTGTTACATTCTATCAAGTTTATACTACATTTTAATTATCCGGTCCCTTTTTGAGAGTCATTTAGGTGGTTACTAATTTTTGTTATTACAGACAGTGCTACAATAAACATCCTACCCATATTTCCTTATACACACATTTAAGCGATACTGTAGGACAAATACCTAGGGGTCCAATGCTGGGTTTTAATTTTACTAGACAGTGGCAAATTGCTCTCTAAATGGGGTAGTTTCTACTTCTCATTCTCATCACACTTGTACTGTTAGACGATTTAATGTTTGCTAATCTAATAAGTGTGAAACGATATTTCATAGTCATTTTAATATGCCTCTCCCAGATGACCACTGAAGGTAAACATCTTTTCATGTGTTAATTATTATGGTTTCTGCTTCTGCAAAATACCTGTTCAGTCATTCCACTTTGTAAAACACCATGAAAAGATATTTATTACATGGATGATATGAACGCACTGGTAGTTCTAGGATCTGAAAAATCAGGTTGGGGTTGTTAAGCGTTGACATAAAAATAATGCATTCTGGAAACACCAGAGTACTGCACCTCAAGCTGCGGTTCACAGCAGCATCGCAGTGTGGCTGATAAAACGAATGCTTGTTACAGGTTATGTGCTCCTGTGGGTTAATGGATGTTTTAAATTCTGTGCAAATTATACTACAACCTATGATTCACGACCCTGAAGAAAATGAAGGAGCTGAAGTCTGTGGCTTAGAACAAAGAAGTAGGGTTCATTTTCACTTATGTCTAACGGGATCAAGAAACAAAGAATTGTATTCCAAACTTCCTCCTCCTGTCAGACAAGCACACACACACACAGACACAAAGTACTGCTGATGGCATCAACTCTGAATCACCATCGGAAAATAAAAACAGTAACAAGGTAAACAGAATCATTCGTACTTAAATACCACAAATAACTCTTACCAAGGGAGGGCATGTATATTTGGGAGATATAATTTTTTTCTAACTTGAAAATTGTAAATTGTACTGCTTGTTCCGAAGACACCCATTTTTATATAAGGCAATGTTTTTTCCTTTAGCTTTTTGCTTATATACTTTAAAACCCCATATCGCTATCATCAGGGCATTTGTATTTTATCATGCCCAAGAGACTCCATAAAATCTGCATCAATTCTTCACGTATCTGAACATTAACCACTACAGAGAGGCCAGAGATTGTGTTTGCAGGAGTGTGAAGGACAGTCGCCTAGCCAAAGGTAACTGGATATTGAGGTAACTTTTGAGGAGCTACATGAAGTATCAATAATCCAGGAAAACTGTTAACCTAAAGACCTTGAACTCTGGCTTCGTAATGTGGTTTTGTCCTCTTAGTTTGAACTTGGATGTGTTTGAAGCAAAGGGAGTTAAAACCATTTTAAAAATAATAATAGTCTCAGAAGGGAGAAAAAAACCAAAGGATCTGTAAAGTTTCCATCCCTGTCCCTCTGGTTTTGTGTTCCTCAGCTGGCTGTGGTCATTACCAAACCGCAGATGCAGACAAGGCCCCTGCTGAATTCAGCGAGGGCCCCTCTCTCTGGCAGTCCCCGTCTCTGGCAGTCCTACAATGTGCAGGGTAACCTGTCCAACGCACCTCTCTGGGAGGGCTCCCTCTCTGGCAGTGCTGCTAGCGGTTGCTCTGTATCTTCCTTGGGCAATGGTATACAAGTACTTTGGTATTAAAATCAGACATCAACCTCCTTCCACTTCAGCCAACTCTGAAAGGGTTTCTGACTTTTTCCTCTGTCAGAGGAAGCATACCCCACAAGAATGATGACAGCATCGTGTTACAACTATGTAACAGGACTTCCCAGTACTGTACTCCCCTAGCCCAAACCTTTCCAACAACAGACTTGGTAGAGAGGTCTCTGAGGAACGCCACTCTCATATCCATGATAGCTAGGACCACCTGTCTCCCGAATCTCAATGGGATGGCTGAGTGCTCATAAACATGTAACAGCTGTGAAGGATTCACTTCTGCCTGCATCGGAACAACCCCTCTGTTGACCCAGGCATAGCTACCGACACCTCCCTAGCCCACACCTATAAGATAAACAGTCAGTCACTTCATTCCCAGCACTCTAAGACCTGGTTTTTCTACAGCAAACATTGGCCACCTGTCAGGCAGAGTTCAATGAACAGTCATGGTCATAGGCTTAGACCTCTTTGATACCAAACTCTAACTAACTGGGTCAACCATAAAGAAAAGTAAGGGAAACTTAACCGGTGCTGAACCCCTTTTAGTGCCACACACAAGACAAATTTATTCCAGGTTGGTGGATGCCTGGTTAGGCAGGTAAGAAGATAATGACACAGAAGGTGAAGTGGAGTACAGGGGTGCGAGTGGGGAGGTGGGATTACTCGGAGAGCTAGTTGTGTTCCAGGAATTCTTGGTTAGAACAGGAAAAGAATTTTCTCAAAGAAAAATATTACAAATGAACATCAGGCAAATATCCGCCACATGTCAGGCAGAATTCAGTGAATAGTCATGGTTACAATTCTATTCTCTCTGTATTAAACACTCGTTTATGATTTAGCACCAATACTTTCTCCTCATAGGCAAAGTACCTTTAAAGCTAAAACAACAAACTTGAAGGAACTTCAGAATAATACATATTTGTGAACTGAGAACCTGTTTTGCTAGAGAAAGAACTGACTTCATCTACCAGTCCATCATTTGAGCGTTTCTCCTAGCTGGTGATGAAATCAACCAAACTTTCAAACATTTTAATGGACAAAGGAATCAGTAAGTCAACCCTTACCTCCCTCCACCCGCATCTTCCTGTTGAGCAGTTTTCCTTACGCAAGATTTAAGCAACTGGTGGACTGGCAGTTACACTCCTGACCACCCTGTACTTTCCTCAGGATGACTAGCATTACAAGTTAATTGTAATTATTTGTCTGTCTGCCTGCCTCACCCCACCCCCACTAGAATGCAAGCTTCCTAGGAAAGGGGCTTTGATTGTTCTTCATTGCAGCCCCTGCTAAGCACATGGTAGGCACTCCTTAAATATCTGCTGAATGAAGGCATAAGCAAAATGACTGACTCATGGTAAATACTACCAAAGGATTTGTAAATAAAATGTCTTTAGAATATTGGGAGAATTGATGTCGAACGGACTATTTAAGCTGCAAAGGAGTAACTCTTGCCTAGCAAAGTGTATTTGCAGTGACCTTGAGCATACAGAACCCATATTTTTAAGTTGGGGTGTGCAAGTAGCCTGAGAATTCTGTATAATGAAGAAGTAATTCCATTTTATAACCACACATCGTAGATGGCATTATTCAACTTATAAAAGTCTCAACCCGAGGCTGGCCTCTGGGCCGAAGGACCCAGCAGAACTTACTTGTAAACCAAGGAGAAATAGGCCCTACGCATTGACAGCTCCTGTAATATGAAACCCTCTCAAATCCTGGAAAAGGTGCTAAATAGATACCCAGAGCTAAAGGGGGCTGCTAGAGCTCCGGACCTTTCGTCAGCAGTTCTAGATTCCAAGGTGACAGTGCCACAGGTTAGAGCAACAATTCTCTCTGGCATTCACAGCGTATTACAGGTAACAACAGAAACTGACATCCCTTATTAACCAGCCCGTCGTCTGAAGTACCGCCGCCCTCCCCGCCCCCGCCCCCCCACACACACACACTCCAACCCCACTCGCGGTGAGGGGGTGGGTGGGCCTGGCAGAACCGCCGAAGGGAAGGTCAGAGGCTGACGGCGCGCTGGCGACCCAGCGTTCCAGGGCCCAGCCCCGCCCTCGCGCGAGGTCCGGGCGGGGGAGACCGGCCGCATCACGGGTGTTCGCAGAGCCTCGGCGTCCCAGCCGGGCCCGGTTGGGAGAAAGCGGGGACGCCGAGCCCGCGGACGTGGGGAGCTGTCGGGGCGGCGGGGGACTCACCTGCAGCAGCACAGCCAACAGGAAGCACAAGTACATCTGGAAGATGCCCATCTCCCCCACCGCCTGGAACGCCTCCTCCACCTCCATGGCGAGCTGCGCGCTCGGCCCCGCCCGCCCGGCGACCCCCAGCGCCGGCGCGGCCCTCCGTCCCTCCCCCGGCGCCCGGCGCCCGCTCGGACCCGCGGGCGGGGTCGGCTCCGAGTCCCGGGCGGCGCGACGACGCGCGATCGGGCGCTGGATGCCGGGTACCCTGGCCTCCGCGCTTCCTGTTAGAGTTTTTTTCTGGGAGGGATTGGTGTCTGCGCCGCTGAAAGTGAGAGGAAGAGGAAGTGGCTCGGCGTGAGGCATCCTCTCCGATGCAGAAACCCGGGAACAGCAGCCGGGTCTAATCCATGGCCCCTACTTCGCGGGCAGGGCGCGAGCTAACCGGTGGGCGCCCTGGTGGCAGCTCCGCCGTATCTGTCCTTTTGTACAAATCTGTTTAGTACGTGAGGTGGGGAGGAGGTGTTCCAGACCCTTTGGAGAAGAGTGCTGTTTCACATTTCTTCCCAGTCCTAGCTTGTGCTGGCTGTGTGGTCAGGTCACAGGTAAACAAAGCCTTGCACAACCGTGAGATCGATTTGCTTATGGAAATCAGAGGGACAGAGGCAACACAAAAGAGGAAGGATTCATCTGTAGGACAGGAGGCGACGGCTGCCACGGTGTTTGAAGAGCAAACAGAAGTTTGTCAGGCTGGACATGTGGAGAAAGGCGCAGCAGGGCCAAGGGACACATATCTGGTCACCTGCCTTAATCCCCTCGTGGCTCCACCTCCTTAGGTTGGTTTTAGCAGCTGCACAGTGTTCCATTGTCTAGGCCATGGCCCGAAATACAGTACTAGACAGAGAGAGGCAACCAGCTAGTCTTTCATATAGGATTTTACATCTAAGAGAGTGAAATAGGCTTATAATTTTCCATGCTTCCTACTATGCTTGTCTGGATTTGGCGGTAAGATTATAGTACTTTAGTAAAATGAATTGGAAGTGTTCATAAAGCGCTCCTTGAAACCATCTGTTCTTGGCTTGTTTTTGAGGGAGAGCCTATATTATACAGCTAGGTAAGTAGATAGAGAGGTAGATAATCACATATTTTTATGGCTTTGTGTTCATGAATTACATATTTTTATGGCTTTGAGTTCATGAATTACTCTTAGTTATTTTTTTCTAGAAATGTTTTTATTTTAGCTAGTTTTTTCTTTTCTTTTTTAAATAAACTGGTTCATATTATTCTCTTCAGGTTTTTTAAAAACAGGTTCTACCTGTATTTATGCCCACTTTTCAGTCATATTCTTACTGTTCTATTCTTATCAGTCTTGTTAGAGGTTTGTCTACTTTATTATTTTTTAAATAACTGGTGTTTATTTTGTGATGTTTCTTTTTGTTTTCTAGTTTATGGATTATGTCAGTTCTTTTCTTTCTTTACTTACTTTTGTTACTCCGTAATTCTCTTACTAGCTACTTGAAAGTTCCATTTCCCTGCTTTCAATTTTCCTTTTTTAAGAATAATTATGCTTAAGGCGATGTGTTTCTCTCTGGGTACTACTTTGCCCTGTTCCACAAGTTTTGTCATGTGGTACTTTCCTTGTCTTTATATTTAAATGTTCCATGACATTGTAATTTCCTCTCTAACTAATGAGCTATTTGTTAGTCCATTTTCTTTAGTTTCCAATTAAAGGTTGTTGCTACTTTGTAACCATCTTTTTATTGTTAATTACTAACGTAAATGCTTTGTGAACAGAGATGATATTAAATCTTGGAAATTGACTTTTCTTGTGACTTGGTATGTGGTCATTTTAGAGAAATGTACTGAATGCATTGAAAATATTCTCCCTTTGTTTGGATACAAGGTTCTCTATACATTAGATTAAGCTTATTAATTTTACCTAAGTAGTGTATATTACTACTGAATTTTTTTTCTGCTTAATAATTTTAATAAATTATTATCATGTTTTGTTTTTATCAAGTTCTTTTTACTTCTGTAGGTACATAAAAGTACCCATTCCTTGTATCATGATGAAATTAGCTCTTTATGCTTTTACTGCTATTTGTCTTAATTTTTGCTTTATTTAATGTTAATATTGTTACATCAGCTTTTTATTGTTATTATTTTCTTTGTAATCTATTTATTTTCATCCTTTTTGTTTTGTTATGTTCTAGGCATGTATCTGGAAGGAAGTTTCTCTTGTCTATTCAGTCTGATAGTCTCTGTCTTTTAACAGGTGAGTTAAATTCATTTATATTTATTGTGATCTATTTGGAATGATTTCTACCATTTTGTTTTATTTTTCTGTTTACCAAATTCTTTTTCCTTCCTGGGCATCTGTTGGCATCTTAAAGCCTTTTTTATACTGCCCTTTTCTCTTTTTGCAAATATTTTGGGGAGCTATAGATTACATCATTATTATTATTATTATTATTATTATTATTATTATTATTATTATTTTGGTAGTTACTTTCTCCTGCATTTTTAACATCCGCATAACTGTACACTGTTCTACCATGTTTATAGTTATTTAACATATCTATCCTCTCTTCAAACTCTTAAGGACCTACATAAGATTCCAAAAATGCTTCATTGGACAAAACGTAAGAGGACATAAAAATGTTATGTTCTGGAAAACTTTGTTAGGTGACTCAAGAAATGACTATTGTGATGCCAAAACACTGATGGAAGAGACTCATGTGAAGTGTTTTAATAAAGAACTTTCATTGTTAAGAAAAATTATCCTGCCCTTGGAAATAATAAGAAAGCAAGAAGAGGATGATAGTATGTGTTTTCAATGTGGTCATGAAGCACTGTTTAACAGGCCCCCCCTAGAATTATATAATTGTATAGAATTACCTGTGTTTGACTTTGCTATTTACTATGCATTAGAATCCAGATACTGTGCAGCTACACGTAAATTTGTAGATTTTTTTTTGGTAGAGATATAAATGATTATGTTCAGTAGGAAATGTAATCTGTTATTTCATTGCCCTGTGAAACATTAACTTGTTTTGTATCTAATATAATAATCTTATTTTACATTCTGTTGTTTTTTTCTTTCTAGAAACAACCAGTCCCTCAAACTCTCTTTGAATTAGCTTTACCATCCTACTGTTTCCCTCATCAATTAAAATAAAATCTCTGACATGAGTTCATTCTATATTCATAAGATAGTCATATTTTTAACTTTTGAAAGTTTTTCTTTGATATTATGATGTGTTGGAGTGAAAAAAATTATAAATTAATATTTTATACAGTTATATAGCTAAATTAATAAATTTTTAATAATTAATAAATTAGTTAAGTAGAAATTGGGTTATTTCATCTTACTTCCTAAAAGCTTATATATTTTAAGTGAATCAAATACTCTTCTATATATTCAGTGTTGATTTTTCTTACATTGGGACACACATGCTAAAAGGAATTGGTTATTGTGAGAACAGAAAGTACAACCTGGGTAGTGTCAGAAATGAGGTCTGATGGGTTGATAGAGGCCAGGGATGCAGTATGAAGGAGTCTGAACGTTTTCCTACAGGTGTTGGAGAATCACTAGAAGTGTTTTAAGCTGGAGTAGTGTGATTTTTTTTCTTTTAATTATTTTTTATTACAAAAGACACATTTTTTAGAATTAGTTTCAGCTGTACAACACAGTGCAATAGTTATACGTTTTACCCCTTGAAGTGACAACCCCCTCCCCCAATCCGCCGCCCCACTTCCCCCCAATATCATACATATCTATTACAATTCCCTTGACTCCACTCCCACACTATACTCCACGTCCCATGTATATATATATATATATATATATATATATATATATATATATATATATATATTCACCAGAGTTGACATACAATATTATACAACATCAGCTTCAGGTGTACAGTGCAGTGATCAAGCCTCTTCCCCATCCATGATACGGTCTCCCTAGCAAGACATGCGACCATCTGACACCCTACAAAATATTTACATTATTAATTATATTCTTTCATGTACCTGTGGCAATATTGTAGTTATGTATTTATGCTGTCTAATCCCTTCCCCTTCTCCCTCATCCCCACCCCCTCCCAACTAGCAACCATCAGTTGTTCCTCTTTATCGCTGAGACCACTTCTGTTTACGTTGCTCATTCATTCAGTTTTTTAGGTTCCACATATAAGTGAAATCGTATGGTATTTGTCTTTTTCCAACTGACTTATTTCACTTAACATAATAGTCTCTAAGTCCATCCATATCGTCCCAAATGGTATGATTTGAGTAGTGTGATTTTTAAAAGAGGATTTGGCAGCAGTGGAAAATACATTCAACACCAGTTGAGACACCATTGTAATGGCAAGACCCAATGAGGGCCCAAAGACTTAAACCAGTAGGATGTTAATAGGGATGGAGAAATGAAGTCAAATTTAAAGTAAAATCTGCAAACATTGATAGTGATTGCATTTTACAGAGGCAAAAGGAGAAATCAAGAATGTTCCTGGCTTTGATGACTGTGAATTGGAGGTACTATTAACTAAGATAGGAAACATAGAAGGTGGAGTAGGTTGGTGGTGCGAGGTTGAAGGGCATATGACAGGAACGATGGGGGTGACAGGCATTGCTCTTTTAAATAGTCATTGCCCCTTTAAGATCCTGCCCTTCCCCCTTAACCCACCCAGGCCCAGCTGGATTTTCTTGCCCTAATTTACAGTCAGTGTCAGAGCTTCTGAGCATGCACTAAAGGAAGAGAGGACTAATTAAATCTCTCCTGAGGCTCAGCAAAGAGTTCCATTTGGAGAGCATATTTTTTCCCCACCTGACCATTCTTTTCTCATTTTTCTTTTTCTTGAGTCATTTTCTACCATAATTTTATAGTACTTGTATCTTTCTTTTATAACTCAGGACTAATGAACATCTGGGTTGTTTTTTTTTATAATAAAATAATGTTTAGAATAGGGTATCTATCAAATTCACACTTTGGAGGCTATGAGAAAAAAACAGATTAACTTTACCTGGTGAATTACATAAAGCTTTGAAGCAAATATACTCAATCATCATCATCTCTTTTATTTTAGAACCTGCGTCCCCTAACCACTGTGTCATGTCTTTTTCTTCATTGGTAATTTGGTGTCCCAGACGGCTACTGAAATTTGGTGTGCCAGATAATAGACTTCATGTATGTTACATGTGGTATCAAAATCCTTAGAGATCCGTGTTGCATACCAGCCTAAATGGACCCAGAGTTAGTGTCTCTTCAAAATACTGGACGAATATTTTTCCTTCTGCATAAAACTTCATGCTGTCCGTATGTCACAGCAACATACGTAAAGATAGCCAAAGAGCAAATACCTCTGTCAACATTAAGTTGCCATAGACACAGCAAGTATGATGGGAACAATCAGATTACAAAGAAGCCAGATTTTGTGGTAGATGTCTGAAAGGAAGGAGCAAGAAGACAAAGGGAGGAGAAGCAAAAAGAAAATGGAATTAGCAGTGAGATGGACGTGCTTCCACCATTTGGCTGCTTGAGCCAACAACCATCATTCGGAAACCATCCTTATGTGGGTGAAAAACATACACTAACACAGATCTAAATTTAGTGTGGAGCAATTGGCCATTTCCCTGTCTCGAACCTTAGCAATAAAACAAAAGAGTGTGAATAGAGGTAGCTCTAGAATTCAGCAGTTATGGCGAGGGCTATGGAATATGAGGGAAATTAGCCATTAATTACGTTTGAATTTAGATAGGAGAGTGTTTTGCTTGCTGAGAGTCCAATTTTACATGTTGTCCCGTGAGGCACTGAGTTTAGATAACAGGACATTCATATAATTCAACAAATTCATTCCTGAGTGCCCAACTTTAATGAAAATGTCAGTACTATTGCTGCTGTTCCTGCTGTTATTTCTTACATGGGAGATTACACAACCAGGGAATACAGGTTGAAATGATGAATTTTCTATACTCACGGGGCCGATAAATTGAGGCTATGATTCAGTAGGGTGGATGAAAATGTGCCCTCTATAAGGAAAATGCCTCCAGGTTCCCCAGGATTAAAATCTAGATGCTGTTGGAACTGCCTGAACTACTTTAGTTGGTTGAGTATTGCACAAAGATGATGGTAAACCTGCATAGCAAGAGTCTTAACCTCAACTGAGATTGATAAATTAAAACCAGCAATGTACATTGAATCAAGTTTGATATACTTGGGGCAGCTGATTAGCTCAGTTGGTTAGAACACAGTGCTCACAACACTAAAGTTTCTGGTTCAATCCCCACATGGGCCACTGAGCTGCATCCTCCACAACTAGATTGAAACAACCACTTGACTTGGAGCTGATGGGCCCTGGAAAAACACACTGTTCCCCAATAAAATTAAAAAAAAAATTGATACACTTGATCAACTCAGTCTCAGAAAGGAGCGTTCACTATCCCTGAACCATTCTGAAACTCATTAAGTATTAGGATTCATTCAACAAATGCTTACTGAGCAACTAATTGTACTGGGTGTTCTTCTAGTTATGGGGAATACACTAAACCAGCAGATTCTCCCTCCCTCTGGTAGCGCTTGCATTCCAGAAATCACTTCCTTCTTGGCTGCATTACTGGATGGGATGGGTGGGGTGAGAGCCAGGAGAAGGAGGAGGACTTGTTGACTATGGAATTGGCACATTGCTCTGTGATTTGATCGTGAAATCAACTCCAAATCAAAACATAACAGCATGAACCAAGTAGATTAGATTATCAAGGAGTCTTTATAATCCATTAAGTCTCCTTCAGTCTAAGAGCTCTTCTCCGTGTGTTTATCTGCCTTAAGAAGAATGTAGCCAAATCTTATAGTCACGTAGTACAAATTTACATTAATGCACAAATTCAGTACAAATTTACATTAATGCACAAATTCGCAAAGAGAATTTGCATGACTTTCAGAACCAAATGAATCCCTAATTTACTGGCTTACAGTGATTTAAACCAAAAGATTATATTGCATTTTAAACAATATAAACTCATCTTCTTTATCAGTCTTCATTTGCATAAGAAGAGTGGCTTATTCTCAGCCAAACAGAGCAAATCCAATCCTCCTGTCTATTTCCTGTTCCAGCACAAGATTTTGAATATCTCATTTTAATTTTCAACTCCTACCAGGGCTGAGATTATTCCTTCAACCTTTTCTTTAGTCACGGGACCTTTTGTAAATCTAATGAAAGTTAATGGTTTTTCTCAGGAAAATGAGAGTACAGGAGAGGGTGCCCTCATCCACACACATTTTGAATACCATTTTTTTTTCAATCACTGAGTCCAACCTGCACATTATAAAAATGATATGTCTATGGGAGGGTTAGATAATATATTTAAGATGATTAAGGGACATACCAAAAGTCGCACCGTTAGTTAGTTAGTTAGAAGAACAGTACACAAAACCAAATTCTCAAAAGTTGGTAGGTTTTGGAGTTGGGGTTGGGGTTTTGTTTTTTGGGTTTTTGTTTGTTTGTTTGTTTGCTATCTGAAACCACTCTCAGGTACAGGCCCTATCTCTAAAGCATTTTTCTTGTCTGAAAATACTAATATAGAAGAACATTGTCTATGTAATGTATTTGCACTCTGATTCCTTTGTAAACAGTGTGTCCCCAAATCTACAATTTTAAGGTTGGGGCTTTCGCTGAGTGGGGCCTTCCCTCCCTGTCTCCCAAGCCAGGAACTGTAGCTGGGATACATAATAACTCGGCGACATGACTGCAATCACAGACACATGCAGAAACAGTCCTCATCTGTTGTGTCTGAAGCCAAAAAATGGAACAGTGTTGTAGTTTTCCTTTGTGGATCATTCCTCACTCAACAGCCATTCTGCTTTTGACTTGCAAACCTGGGCCACGGAGCTGCCCCACCACCAGGCATATTTCTTACTGGGCTGTGAGAGTCTAGCATATGGCTAATTACAATTTACTCCTTCTTAAGTGCTCTGACAATCCACTAAAGGCTGTTTTGTCTCTTTGGTGTACTCGCCGCAGCACTTTTTGCAGACAAAGCAGTAACTGGTTCTCTTGGAGGTACCTTTTTATTTCAAATGATGATGGGAGAGGACAATCTTCTGTCTGGGTTGTTAATGACGTGTTCTCAGCCTGGTCTGTTAAATGACTGTGTTCCTAATGATGTGTCATTGCCATCAGTGTCCTGGT